AAAGACGATCTTAGCCCCTGTATTAAACCATGGATAAACTTTAAGTCTATTGTAATAGTTATATGAATGCTACGCAGGAGAACACTTCTTATCATACACCAGTGCCTTATTAATGGGAAACCATATGACTAATTAATTTGATTAGTTAGAAGTCATTATTTCTGTTAATCAAATGGAAATAAGATTACTGTGAGTACAGCTTACTAATAACCTGCGGTATGTCATTGACTCAACTTGATTATAACACAGCAGGCATATGATACACAATATTACAGAAATCATTAAAAGAGCCTGAAAACAATGTATGCAGAGGAGTGTATGGTACAGAGTAAGGTCTATAACCTAAAAGGTCGGTGTGCCGGTTTAGCGTTCAGCTTTGCCAACAGCCTCTTCTGTTTCTTTCTAAATGTAGGATCTCTCTATATTTTTCAGTGCTCAGCTTTTATGGCTGCTGCGCTCACCTGAAAACGTGAGCCAGATAGACGTGCAATACAGCGCTTGTGCCATCTGAAACGTTTTCTTGAACCTCCTCAGAGGGGAAAGCAGTCTGCGAGTCCCTGTCGGGAATTCAGATGCCCATAAGAGAAGCCAGCCATACACAGCTCATGGGTCTGTATCATCTAGCTACTCCAAGCCTACCACCGACATGACCCTGCTCTGAACATTTTGTTAACCTACAGAGATATATGTTCCCCATGAATATTGGCTATAAGGTGAAGAGAGCTTGGGAAAGTATTAGCACATTTTCTTATTCTTCAGATTGTTTTCTATTGCTTTCTTGACTGCAAAAGCAACTTCCTTCATGTTATCTAACAACAAAAGGCACTAATCAATAAGAAATAGCTATGATGTCTTTATCTTTGCTTGAAATGAAAAGTGCAGCATAGCAGAGAAGTGAAATCACTTTGTCCTGCAGTGTATCCTTGTTTTAAGAAAGCTTTTCTATATAGCTAGATGGAAAATATTAGGGAAGGAGGGAGGGAGAAAATGAGGAAAGGAGGAAAGGAAGATCCTTGCTTGATGCGTAGGTAACTGGAAAAAGAATGGGAGGCATAACAAAAGTCCACCAAGACTGTAATAGCAGGATAGGCTATTATAACTACTCTCCTAAGCTGAGAAATGAGGAAACTGCCAGTGGTGTTGAGAGGTCACTTGGGGAAAGCTAAGGAAATTAGACTTGTACAGTCCAAAGCTGATGACATTTAATTAGTCTCTGCATTGAAAAGTTAGAAATGCAGAACAAGGAGCCTTCAAGATCTATCACCAAGCACTGGCACCTCAGCAGCCCAAAACCAGAGGATTAGCACAGTAAGTGGCAAGCGAAGCTGATGATTGATACGCACTTTCTTTAGAAATGAAGGCAATCACTTGCATTTTCAGGAAGGAAAAAGCAAATTGAGTGCATAAACTAGCTGAGAACTTCTACAGTCATTTAATGGGCCTACTCAGACAATGAGCTTGCTAATTAAAGAAGCAAAAGGGGATATATGACATAGGGATGCTATGCCAATGTAGAAGTATCTTCTTCTTAGATTCTTCGTATCTAAGACATTACTGGAAGACATGACCTTGTGGTATTAACACCAGATTTTAGTGCAGTTCTGGCTTTCCTGAGGGCTCAACACTGTTTTTAGTTCAGCCAGTACTCTGCTGAAGCTACATGTTCAAATCTTGTCTGAACAGTGTAACTAGTCATCTACTGTGTGTATAACACTAGAGAGAACATTTTCTTTCGTGACCATGTTCCTATTTCTTCTTCATGACTTTAGAGAATCTATACTGAACCTATGAATTTGGTCAAGTCAGTAAGTGCCTCAAATATAGCAAAACACCCATTTGCATGGGAATTTTAAGTTATGCAGCTCCTAGACTTGAGGAAGAGGGGTATACAGGAACAATTAAGAATTCCTAACCATTATAGGTTTCCACTCAAATGGAAGTATTCCAGAAAAATAGTTTGGCTGCGGCTGGAAGAGAAACAGCTCTTTCCAGTTTACCCACAGTAGCTAAACCTCAATTACTATAAAATCCCATCAGAAAAAGAAGGGAGACAAACAAGCAGAAACATATAGATGCAAAGGAATTGAACGAGCCAAAGCTCACAGAGAAAATAATATCCATAATTTCCTCATAGAGGAAATGTCATAATTTCCCCATGAAATCAGAGAGTAATTTTGGTGAGAGTGAAAAGATGTAAGGATCATACAGAAAAGAGTGAGCTGGAAAAACTAGGAAGTGACTAGCCTTGGCATGCCTGAACGAACTGGCAAAACTCAGAGAGTTTCAAGAGGGCGTACAGATGTCAAATTCAGGTGTTTGCAGCTAAATGAACCAACGTGCAACTCTTGTTCTTCTGGTTAAAAAGTCTCATCTTCTGTGCGCAAAGATGATTAAGCTTAGACATTTATCTGCAAACTTCATCTTTTACGTACAACAACAGTTACATGCCTTCAAAGGTTAACAGAACAGCTCAGATAGAACAGAAAGAGTAGAAATATGGGGACAGTGTCATTTTCCCCAGGATTACATGTCATTTTCCCCAGGATTACATGGAACTGGACCAGCAGATTCAGTTCCCTCCAAAGACATGAGACAGAGGACATCTGCCCTCTGTCTGAGGAGAGATGCATCTTAAGAGCTTAACACTGAAGACTTCCCAGATCAAGAAAAACAGAGAAATGTACAAAAGCAGCAGAGGAGTCTAAGCTCAGCTGTCTAGGGATGGAAAAAAAAAAATACAAGATAGACTATCATTAACTATTTTACAGCATTATGAGGCAGTAAAAGAGAAATCTCCAAAATCTCTTCAATCTTTTTTCCCATATCCTGCTGCCTAGTGAATCTTTGTCTGCCTTAAAAGACAAGATATGTTAATTGTTTTAGCCTAGACCTTAATCAGTAGCTTCAAATCAGGACAGCCTACAAACAAACAGTGTTGAGGTATATCTTGAGCTAAGGTATCTAGCAGGGAGCTAACTTGGACATGAAGTAGGCAAGACCTAACCTAAAGATACATAAGGTGAGGAGAGAGATCTGAGCTTTCTGTGGAATGAAAACCAATCCATTCTCAGGGCCACTGATGGTAATTGCAAAATTCACAAAGTCTGGACACATCTATATCATAGCTGAAGTTGTGTTTAAAAAAAATCACGTTCAAACAACCTGGAAAGAAATCTAAAAAATTGTAAAGGAAAGTAAACTTGACCCAGAAATAGTTTTACTCCTCTTCCTTCAACCCTTATGCCCCTATGCAAACTCCCATAAAAAACAGCATTCAGTCATTAACCCTTCAGTTGGCGTTATGCCTACCTCCACAGTAGTTTCTTTCCTAGCTCCTAGTTTGTATTTTACATTAAACCAGGGGAAATAGTCTTCATTCATTATCATACTTCATGGAAACCACGTGCAAAGCACCCTCACAATCTATTCAATTAAAATGTTCCGATCAATAACAGATGTCATGGCGAATACAGGTTTCCAAAGCTAAGCAAATGCAAATTTGACTGCACAGAGGTGGAATGTCCAGAAATATAACACAGAGGTGTTATATTTCTGACTGTTTGGTGTGTAACATTCCGATTACCTACAGTATAACAGAGTGCTAAAGCGGGTTCATGATAGAGTGCTTTCACTTTACCTTTTAACAGGTCACCTGCTAGGATAATAATTATACTACCATTTCAAAAAAAAAAGAAATCATGGCCTCTAATCAAACAAGAACAATCAACAGGAATGAGTAGAAAATAGTGTTTGCAGCTGAGGAAAACATGTGGGAAGGAAATAAAGTTTCCTAGTCAACATCAGACTAAGCATTTTCCATGAAGAATGAAAGAAAAAATGGGAATGGAGAGTGAGTCATTCCACTTGTCTTCATAGGATAGAGACTTGCCAAGAAGATAATGAAGCGTAGGCAATACTCTCCAAAGAAGTCTTTCTGTCTTTTGTGATATACAGAGAGATACAGAGATTAGTCTCCTAAGATGAATACTTAAATTAGTTATTTAAATTTATATGATGTGGCTGTCTACCGAGGAGGCAGAGAACGAAGTCAGTTTGTTTGCCAGCAGCATACAACAACCCGATGGTCAGGACAGTAGCCTCAGGCCAAACATTCTCTCACAGTCTGGGTTAATTCCCTGATAATTGTTCTGCACCAGTCTGTCTAGGCCAATGTATTTTTAATATTTATGTAAAACTGAACAGTTTCAATGGGAAAGGTTGAGGAAAGCTGAGGGTAGCATGTTAATCAGGATCCTTGAATCAGGGCTTTGTACCATTTTGTTAATTCCAGGATTCTGGGTTGAGTTTCTAGATCTTAGAACATTTTTTTGACAAAGAACACTTCAAAGCTAGTACTTTCCTACAAAAAAAAAAAAGAATTCAATTAATCAGTATTTTCCAAACAAACAACTTTGTACTAAAAATTGCACAACAAGCCTTGCTTATCACCTGCAGTAAGTAGTAAGATCAAAGGCATGCACAAACTGTGGGACGTGCCTTGAGTAAGGCAATGTGCATAACACCCTTTCACCAACACGCACAATACTCGTTCCTTACTGCTTCATGTACAGTCCTGCCCAGGTTTCCTTCTTGCTGCCAGTTTTGACCTACTGCTAATTACAACATCTGTTATAACGAACGACTCATCTCCTCCGACTGGTGGACATAAGACCTGAAAGCAAGGATCTTCAAATGAGTAATTAATCTCACCCTAAAGCAGGCTCCTGGTCAGGTGAAGCCAAGCCTGAAAGTGTCATTGGCAATCAGGGGACTGACTATCCGTGTATCCTGAACACTTCTCTGGATGGATGGCATAGCTGGGAGCTGAAAACCCAGGAGTTGTGTATCCAAGTGTCAGGCAGTTCATACAGAAAGGTTTGAAGGCTTCTTCAGATAAACTCTCTGTACTAGCAACACAATCCAGGGGACATTCTTGCTCAGATAATGCTGACACTCTGTAGGACCAAATGGATGAAAATATCATTATCTGCCCTCCTTACCTCTGAAGAAGTGGGTTTGCAGTAGCCAGCTCCAAAGACTAGATTCTCTAATGACATACTGGACTGGTCTGGTCCTGTCTCCAGGTTGCCTTTACCAAGCCATGATCCTTTCCCTGGACGAGCAAAACTAAAGGAAGAGAAAATGAAAATCATCACAACAGCATTGTTACAAAGGCACCATTGCTCTCCCAAGTGCTATTTCTTTCCTTAACCAGATGTATGGGCTTTTTTTTCTTTTTCAGACTGACACCGCAAGTCAGCATGCCGTATTTCCCATCCAAACTGGACAGTGTGCAGAACCTACTAGATAAAATGATGCAAATGCAGTTTTCTTCCTTGGCATTCAGTCTAATGACTTGGGTGTTATCTTTCATCTAGACCTTTCTTTGCTATCTTATAGATTTCTTCCAACATAAGATCTGACAAGTACAATCTTTCCATCCATCCACATAGATAAAATTCCTATCCAAGTTCCTATCAGCTTGCATCTTGATTAATGCAGCATCTTTATCTCCAGCTTTAACCATGTCATCTTTTCTCTTTGAATTCCTCATAACCTGTCTTTACTATCAATATCTTTTATAACTCATCACAGTCTTTTATTGCAGATTCAGTTCCCACTTGTGACTAGCCCATGACATCAGCCTCTACTGTCAAAATGATAAGACTTCAGCCCAAAACCTGCCTGTGCTATTGCTGGGGGATCCACACGTCTGGGTGGTGTTCTCCCACACCCCTGTGCAAAGTGACTTCACTGTTCTTCAAATCATTCCTCAAAAACCTGACAGAGTTTAAGTTGCTTTCGTGCTGAGGTCATTACCTCTCAGCGCAGACCATTATGGCCTCGGTGTTCTTTTCTGACTGTACCCATTTATCTTACTGCATGAACCCATTAGGAGTGTAAGATTTCATTTGGAGTTTATTCAGCATCAAGCACGCTGGAGTCCTGATTCATAGCCAGGACTCTTATTCTGGATTAATCTGACCAAATGTCTACATCCAAGTTAATGATATAGGCTGCCTTTATAATCACCAGAGAGGAATAGGCATTTCCATGGTGTGAGTCATCTCTTTCTGAAGTACTCATATAAAACAGGTCAGAGGAGTGTCACCTTCAAAGTGCTTATTTCTTACTGCAGAGCATAAAGAGAGCCTAGGGTGACTACCTCGCAGTCAACTAAAGTTAGGTGAGACAAACCCTACTGTGATAGTTCCTGTGATAGTGTGTGTAGTATGTAAGCTGCAACAAGGTTTAGAGAGAGAAATCGGGCTACTTGTGGTGAATACAATGAGCCGAATAACTGAGCGCAAGTACTGATACAAGCAACCATGAGTGGTCTTAACAAGCAGGTAGGCTAAGGTGGAACTAAAAAAAAAAATGAATCACAGAGAAGAAAAGAAATACATTTGCTTTTCATATTCAGTGCAGAGGTAAAGCCACAGAGTTTAGCGCTAGAGCATTCAGACTGGGATCTCCACCCACAGGCTCCTTATGCTCACCATCCAAGCAACCCAAAGCCCCTCCTGCCCAGGAGTCCCGGTCTCCTCGGAAAAACAAAATCTTCCACGCTGAGGGGCACAAAAGACATTTTAAAACCAGGAAGAACCAACGGCCACTCAGAAGGGTCATTCAGAGCTGCCAAAATTTTCTAAACCGGGATCATTCCCCTACACAGATGTGTGTTATGTGGCTGTGCCAGCTCCTATCAGCCCTAATTCACGGGTAACTGCAGTTTACTGAGTAGTTAAGGACAGACCAGAGTGCTGGCTACTGTACTGAAGGACAGAACAAAAATAAGGATGCATGCACAAGGAGACAAGACAGAACAAGGAATACGTGTTATCGTCCAAATAACAGATGATGTTCTGATGTGCATGGAAACTCAGCAACGTGTGCAACATTAAAAAATGAATCTCCAGCACAGTCAAGAGCTGGACCAATGTCAGCAGGTTAACCACAAATACCTGCTTCTTCCCTAAGACAAAACTGCTGTTTATTATATATCCCCCAGCATTCATTTGGTTGACGAAGACGACAACCCCTAAGGAAAACAACAGCGTAGAACACCTCTGCATATGTCTGGTCTTGTTTGTGTGCATAGTAATTGATGTGATCCCAGAAATTTCCAGCTGGCTGCTTCTAGGCAGCGGGAGGTCTTTCTATGTATTTCCCACATGCAACATTTAAGATAAAAATAAATAAATAAACTACAGCAATTGCAAAGAGCAAAGAGATAAACACCACTTTGAATAATTTCAGCTATTATGGGATGATGCTGTCTGCCCTGGTCTGTTGGAAAGGCTCAAGGAGCAGAAGTAAAAATTGATTGCTGTGGTATCACAGAGAGAGAGGCTTAAACAAATGTTGCCTGCACATGAAAAACTCTTCATCTGAATATTAGCGAAGCTTTCAAAAGCTTTAAGGGAGAAAAAAAGCACTTTTTAATGCCTTTTTTATTTATTTATCTTTCGCTTTTACAACAGAGAAGGGATTTTAATCTGCTGGTTTTATGGAAATTGATTTCGTATAGCACTGTAAAACAAAACCCCTTTTTTGGGAAACCTGCCAAAATGTCGTCTGTCCGCTGAGGGAAAGTTTAACTGGAAGGCTGACAAATTGCTAAAGTTCCCCTAATGCACATAGCACTTGAAGACAATTTTTATTAGCTATTGCAGATTCATTTGCTACATCACATTTCATTTTCTGTATTTATTTTTCCCGTTATTCCTGCCACGGTGCTTGTTTGCATGAAACGTGACCTTTGGTTATTTGCATGACCATTTTTCCTATCTATGTAATAGCATTGATTTAATATCAACACTTAGAGCTTCATTCTGTATTTTAACCTTAGCTTTTATCTAGGGAAGTAGGGTAAAAAGTCAAAGCAGCGTACGTGTGCATTTCAGAGAGAAGGACATACGTACACAGAATTATTAACATTTTCAATGTAAGAAACAATCTATTTTTCAGTTTTTTTGAATTGCTCTTTCGATGTGTTTATCCCTGAGATGCATTCGTCCCTCAGAGGAGTTTCATAGTTCCTGTAGCAGCCATCTGTGGACACACAGGAAAATATTATAGTAAGCTGCGTATGATAAGCCTTTCTTTTTTCTTTTTTTTTTGGTCTAGGGTATAACCTGCAAGTTGCTAGCAATGACAATTTAAGAACTTTCTGATTCAGAGGTTATATTCAGGCAATTACGTCCAGCTCTCCTTTCTTGAATTTGTCTCTGATTTATTCTTTTGGTCTCTGTAACATCTTTTGGAATGTATTTCACAATGTAATATATGTTGCACTTTTCTGTTTGTTTTGAGCCTACTATTGGAGAATTGAATGTGACACCTTTTAATTCTTGTACTATGTGAAACATTAAATAATCATTCCCTAGTTTTTCTCTTCTGCGGACACTTTTTTAACATACAAATGAGAAGACAGTTCTCTAACAAGGAGTGGATTGGAAATGATAAATGTTAATTAGATGTTTTATTGAAGTAACTCAGAATAAATGCTTTAGGCCATTTTAATAAAATAAAATATTCCCATTGAGATTGAGTAGGCCCAAAATGAAATGAATTTTTTTTTCATTTTTCCTTCACTTTTTCAAAATCCAGGGTAGTTTTGTTTTGCTTTCCTTACAGGAAATTTAGTTTCTTTAGAAACTGTAATTTTATCAGCATGGAGGCAAAACCCCCTCCTAACAGACTGAGGTAGGAATCTTGCATACGTTATATGCAACAGTGAAAATCAAAAAAAAAAAAAAAAAAAGCTCTCAATTTCTAATGAGACAAGAGAGTCTTCTCACTGGCCCACAAGACTAGAAGTTCAGGAAACAAATTTGCATCCCATTTTGGCCCATTGATTTTTTGGAAAAATCATTACAACTTTATTCCTTAGTCCCTTATGCATAAAATATTACTAATTTCAAAAAGAAAAAAATATATATATTAATAAATCCCATGAAAATAAAGATCTGTCAAACTATGAGACATCTCCGAATCAAACCCTTACATGCTCCACTGACAGCACCCTTCGCGTTTCACAAGCATTTTCCTTCTACCTCCCACAGATCTGGAAACATGTAATGTATAAAATATTGATTTCCCTCACTGTTTAAGCTCGAAACATTAATATAGCTCTTGGAAAGTTGCTCTTTAGCAGGTGGCCACAGGATACATGGGTGATCTGCTATTTGTTTTTGAGAAGAATATGTGAATATTTACAGGTTGGACTACCCTAACCATGTTCTTCTCTTTCACCTTCACTAAGGTTATAATCAGCGACTAGAAAAAAAATGTTCTGGAATTCTTGGGTAAAACTGGTAAGAATTACTACAATAATAATTGTACTAGAAACAGACATTTCTCCCCAGATCCTAAAGCGAGTCAGGATGGAATCTGGTTTAAAATCTCTAGTGATTCTGAATGCTGGAAAACTCTTTGGTTCATTTATCCTGACCTTACCCTCTGTTCCCATAAAACTTGCAAGTAGGCAAAGTTAGGTTGTGGCATTTATTTAGGATTCTTTTTTTCCCCCTTTAATGAAAGCTTGGCTCAAAAATAGATTTTTTTTTCTTATGTGATTTCTCAGTTGGTAGCTCAGGGAATGGCATACCAAAGTGGAGGTTTATCATTGCAGGTACATAACAAACAGGAACGAAAGAAAGAAAAGTCAGATGAAGAAACGCCTGTTATTATACAAGCATTCCCAGAGCGGGGAAAAAAAAGTATTTTTTTTTTTAGTAAAAATAGTATAGAACCAATAGCTCTTTACTGCATAAGTTTTCCATTTTCTTTCCACATTTCTTGCTTATTTTGAACGTACAGCTTATTTTATTTGCAAATGAGATGGAGAAAGGAAAATAAGCCACGACCTTTGCTACCCGGGATTACATCTGTAGCAGTTTCAGCTGTAAGCTGCTCATAAACTGGGACCACTAGAAAAATTGACCTGCATAATCTGCAGCTGGATTACTACTACCAGGTAGTACATGGTAGCACACTGATCAGTTATGGTGCTTTTGAGGAATAGGGGGATGCCTGAGAATAAAAGGAATTAGGTGAGAAAAAATTACCCAACAATAGCCCGGGTTGGCACGATTTCTCAGTGCGGTGCAGAGGAGCAGAATTAGGTCAGTGCTGAAGCCTTTAAATACCCTCCTATGTCCCTTTGACTCTTTTTCCTCTTCCCATAGCAGAGCAACCACATGGCACTGGGAAATTCGCTATCCGTGTCTCGGTTTCCCCACCCGCAAAACACGTGTTTTGCTCTTTCCCCATCTCAGGTGCCACGAAGATATCTTGTCTGTTGTACAGTGGACATGGGCAAAGGAGGGCTTAATTTTACTAGGTCGAAACCTCACAGTCTCCTTTGATTTTCACATAGACACAGCTCTTATTAAATCAATGCATATTCTGAGCAGGGCGACGAAGTCTCCCCTACAGCAAACGTTGAGGCGGGTCTGAATGAGGGGGAGAGGAGAGGGAGCTGAGGAGAATCCAGAAAGCTGAGAAAATAAAATCCCTTTCTTGTGTAAACAAGAGAAATCAGATTTGCCAGCCGCATGCAGGGAAGGATCTTGCTTATTTACAACAAATTCAAGGCTTGCTTTTTTTTTTTCTTTTTTTTTTTTTTTTTTGTCAGATTAAAATTGTTTTCAGATGAAATCCAAGAGCTGCAGCAAGTACAGCTGCAGGTGCTCTTGCCGATGCTCTTCCCATTGAATGAGCCAGATTCTGCACAATCCTTAGACAGAGCATAGCTTTGGGGAGACCTGTCTTTACTGGCAGTAGCAGTCTGATGCTGACACGTCTTTTAAATTTCCAAAAAGCTCTCAGGGGCAGAATGTATAAATCATCTGAAGTCACTGGCTAAACTTTCACTAGAAGACTTGCCAGCCAGATCCTACTGTCCTTGCTGCTTACGGGGAAATCCAACACACACAGCGTTGCATTTGGTGTAGAAAATCATGGTTTGCCGTTCAGTTACTTATTTCAGAGACTATTTACATGCTGTATTTTGTCTTATAAATAAATGCTTGCTCCTCTTGGGAAAGAGTGGTGCAAAGGTTTATGGAGTTAATGAAGCAGGTAACCATGCTTCTTGGTGTTTGTTTCCTAAAAGAGTCCAATGTAAAACAGCACTGAACTTGCAGCATGCCTGAGACAGGAGCAGATCTGAGCACCATACAGGTGGATGCATATCTTTTGGAAAAAGAGAGAAATCTTTCTTAAAATGGGGACTAAACCGGAGCAAAGCACCTTTTCTAACTGCTATTGTGAAGCTGAGTACTGGGGGATCCACTTATGGACTGAATTAGCTGTAAAGTAAATTTTCAGGGCAATTTCAGGACAAGAGTGGATTTCAGTTTTACATGATGGGTGAGTTTTGTTTTCAGGGCAGGTCTAAGACTGTTATTGTCTTACATATAAATGTGTACGTATGTGTAGAAATAATGTGCGTATACATGCAATATACATAGTATAATAGGATAGTTTAAGATAGCAAACTAAAACATAATAAAATATATTACAGATATTTTTCAAAGACAATGAAGTAGCTTTTTCCTAATTTTTTACATTGTAACCAAAACACTTTCCAATCATTCAAGTTCTATTGTGTTATAAAAATACTTTGTATACTACTTTTACAATTAATTTTTCCCTGTGTTCCCAGTAAACACAGAATGATAAGTGCTAAGCAAAAAAGCTCTCAGCTGAGAGAGAAGGAAATAAGTTTCAGCGGGTTGGTTTTGTTTCAGAGTGCTTGCCACTGACAAGCAATTTATATTTAGAAAATGAAAAATATAAAAAGCCGTAGGATTTTGAATATTTATCAAGAAGAAGATAAATTCCAAGTATCACACTTTAAAATGATTATTACTAGCCTAAGCACATTAAACTCTGTCTTGTGTTGTCAAAAATCTCCATTCCACTGCATTAAGTAAAAACACTATTCTTCATAAATGTCCACAAAATCATATTTTAAAAGCTATAGGAATCTGACTATGGAACAGCTGCTCATCATATGACTTAGGCCTAACAGCACTAACAAATCCCTGTAGCCCCATTCATTAGAGGATAATAAAGCACTGAAAACAGTAATTAAGCCTGATAACTATTGTTCTCCCATCCTTTTATACAGTAGAACAATGGGTAAATTATCTGAGTAAAACTATGCAGTTAGAAGTAGTCTGTTACAATCCAATTCATTATTAAAAAGTCAACACACGGCAGGAGAGAGACACAGCAGTTACCTGCATCTCAGCTGAGGAAGAAAAGACAGATCTGAATTAGTTCCCTCTGATGCACTAATACAACTCCCGTCACTATCACAACGCCATGTCTTACAGTCTTAATTCATTTTATAGTATCGTGTCCTTTATATGAACGGAGAACTGAAGCAAAGATATACTAATTAGAAACAGGAAACCTAAGAAGAGATGAAAAGAGAGACTAAGTCATCCCAAGCTGGCACTTTACGTTAGCGGTCCATTTTTTCTTTCTGAAACAGAGCTCTTTGCACAATATCTGACAGACTCAGTAGTCTCCTGGTCACTTGCTAAAACGCCGAGACCTTGCTGGAGTGAGGGAAGTTGAGCAATGCCGATGGCTGCGTCTCGCTGCAGGAGCCAAGGAGCTCCCTCCCTTTCAGCACTCTTTATCTCACACGATGACAAGATTGGACACAAAGTAAATTGCCAGAAGGACCTTTGCTTCCCCTTGCCTGCTCTAAATATTAGAGGATATTGACCTCTAGCCCTGCTTTATTTGAAGGAGTTCTGAATTATTTTCTTGTCGTTACGAATCAGATAACATAAATCACATCTAGACCCCGTGGCAGCTGGTATTACGCTGCTGCACAGTTAAACGATGCTGCAAAGTAAAAATTCTAGGGAGGCTTAACCAGTACTGACTCATACGTGCTTCCTTCCAGCCATGCTATATATTATTCTCGTGCCTCGAGGCCACAGCTGAGATTACAGTCCTACCATCCTAAATGCTTTACGAAACAACAGCAGAAAAAAAATAACGCCAATGTTCTTAGATGCTTTTAGACTAAAAAAGAAAGGCAGCCAAGGAGGAAAAGGAAAAATTCACTATCCTCTTGGCTGATTTTGCATCAAGCTCCAAGAGTCTTATCAAAGGTAGAAACCTGCGCCAGAGACTGGATTCAAACCCAGATTTCCGGAATCCTAGCCTAGGATGAAACTCATTGAAACTAAATCGTCCTCGCTGCTTCTCTCCTCTCTGCAAAGGTACTCAGAAGAGGAATCTCCCCTGTCTGTCAAGAGGTGTTTCCGTGCCCTTTACCTGATCAGAGGCTGGTGTAATGCTACCAGTGACGCATGTACCGTGACGGATATCACTGACAGGTGGAAATAGTCAAACATGACAGGAACATGGTGGTGCAGGCCTCTCCGGGGATGGAAGTGAAGACACAGTGTACGGCTGCTAATCATGGGGATCACTGGAACATCTCTCAGCCTGGAAGAAAAAGAGATGTTCAGGGGTTAGCGAAGCCTTAAGCTGTCACCGTCTATAGCACGTTACAGGCAGCAGATTGGGAGATGGCTTGAGCTGAATTTTTATCACTCCCTGGAAACGTTTACAGCTTCAAGAATGTTTACATGACTGACGAGTATCTTCTAATTGTACCTGCGTCTAGCAGAAATATAAATAATGTGAAGTTACTGTAAGAGAGAGAAATAAATGTGATACAATGCGGGATCTCCCTTGCTGCCCACCTATGCGCTAGTTCTGGAGACGTCAAGAGCTAATGAATAGCAGAAGGAAATGCAGTCAGCAAAGTGCGCAGCTAATTCCCGTGGTAATAGCCAGGATGGAGCAACAATTGTGATTTTTAGTGTAAGAGCTATCTGCTTTTCTTCAGGCAATCTGTGAGAGGTAGAAGTAGTAGTTTCTCTGTATCAGAGAGAGTTGAAGCCTATTCAGACTACTTCTCTAGATATCTGATCTTCTGAAAAAATTTGTTACAAAGGGTCAAACAAAGCAGCAGTAACTGCAAAGAAGCATTACAAGCAGGATTGGCTCCTCCTCTTTTCCTTTTTTTTTGTTTGTATTTTACAAACAAGATTTGTGTTTAAAGCTTTATAATAATTATTCCGGAGTAATTTTCCCTAGTGTGCAGTCAACCACATGACATCTAAGTTGCCTACAAGTAAAAAAAAGCGAGATGTAGACCTGAGACTTTAAACAGCAACAGCAAAGAGTACCTGTGAAGAGATGACTGAGTATAGTCACAAGTGTTCCTGTGAGCCCTGTGGAACATCCTTTTATAAATATCATTAGTATTTTTTAAAAATTAGAATCGTGAGTAATCGTTAAGATGACAACAGATATTAAAGGTACATGTTAGACCACAATTTCATAATAACTTGAAAGTTTCAGTTCTTTCTGTCCTTGGCTATCACTTTTCTTTTTCCTCCCTTCCGGATCCATGAATAGCACAGCTGATGATCCTTTAAACCTGCCTGGGAGAAAAGCATTTCACCTTGTGCACTGAAGATAAAGGCAACGTGTCCCTTGAAATCTCTTAAGGTGCCTTATGGATATGAATAAAATCACCTAGAGACAGCCTTGGCATGAAACCCAGCTCAAATGATTTCTCTGCAGGCCCCCTACAAATGCCGCTGAAGTCACAGGAGGCTTTTTCTTGGAGTTCAGTGAGTCTCAACGAGGTCGATTTCTGGTACCTCTTAGGAAGAGAGGTCATTCCCACTTCACCTAAGATTCTTGAATCAGGTGCACTGTGAAGAGATCAAACTCAATGGAAAGACTCCTTTCTTCTGAAACATTGAGACAGCTTTGGTCGTTACACAGGAAAGCACTTAGCATGTTCATGCATCCAAAGTCAGCCAGAACACCCTTAATTACTTCCTAGGAGAAATGTGTTCCTGAACTACAGCCTCTGCTCACACGGAGGTCGGTGATGATATTCCCTTTCACTTTAATAGCAGCAGAGATAGAGTAATACTTAACACCTTTGAAAATCCCACACTTAAAACAGAAAAATGTTGTTGCCTAAAAGGGGGACTAGGAGATACCCACTTCAAACAGAGAGGAAAAAACAGAAAGGCTTATATACAAAGGCAGAGGAACGGCACATCAAAGCTATCCTGTTTTCCGAAGGACTCTCTTATCCATCAAAGCCATGTACCCAACAGAACAAATCCCTGCATTATCAATTGAGCTTTAAGACAGCACTTACTGTTGTTCGTTATCAGTAAAGTGCAGGTCCAACTTGAGCTGAAAATCTGCCTCGCTCAACGCGTCTTCCACCTACAAAAGGAGAGAAAGGAAAGACACCTTTACAAGTTGACCCTCCCAGTATTCAAGATAAAGGTAAATAGTTTTGCCTCACAAGAGCAAAGGCAAAAGTACACACCAACCACAACACCCCAGCAGAGTGGCAGAAATGTTCAAATGAAATAGCAATTTGAGGTAATTGCCGAGGGAGTCAGAGGGACCCACAGCAGCCAGAGATGCTGTCTGCCACCCGCTGTTCTGCCATGTCAAAAAGTTACTCCAGATGAGAGTAACCTGGGAACAGAGCCAGGTTTGGTTGAGTGTTTGCTCTTTCCATGGGGAGAGTCTCCAGTCAGCGGAGTATTTCAGCAGCTCTGCTCCCTCACCTAGTGTTCCTCTGAATTATCTTATTAGCGAAGGAGAACAAGGACCAGGTTTTCTTCTATGCTCAGGAAACACCATGAATCCTGCTGGTTCTCCACCAGTAACTAATGCAAGGTTCAAAGATCAGCATTTAAAACAATCAGAAAAGAAACTGTTAATTCTAACAATTTAACATCTCATCATTAGCCTTTTAGCTTATTACTCAACAAGATGAGGATTTTCTGCCTCACGGTCACTCTTTAAGTCTCTTCACAGATTCATGGAGGAAATTTGTCATTGGTTCATACTTAGACCATTTCCTTTGCAAAATGCAAAGGTTTTCATTCTTGCTATAAATCAAAGCTTCAATTAACAACAGTTTATCTGTTCATTTTGTTGGTGCTCAGCATGTTTATACGCAGTAGGATTCAGCTCACTGACTACACCAAAGATATCACATGCGATCATAAGCTGACTCACCAGTACCTTCATCTAATAGATCCCACCAGTAAGATTATCCTTCTTTTATAGTCAATAAAATATTTTAATTGGATTTTCTGAGACAGCACATGAAGTAAGCTGTCAGTTGTTTACATTCACCCAGCAATTACACTCGATAACATACGTCCCACCTTGGCACAGCTAAAGCAACTGTAATCTACTGAAATAAATAAATTAGAAAGAAGGAAGGATTAAGCTGCCCAGAACTTTCTGTTTCACTCTTCTTAAACCTCTTCTCTTCCCCACAAATGTAGGTTTAGAGGGATAAAACTGTTTATATTTCTAACAAGTTAAACTGAATCGTGAACAGGAAATCATTTATTTTATCACCAAAATAGTCCCATTTAAGTTTTTTTCTCTCTCTCTCTTTTTTTTTTTATGTGTACCAGGGTGCATTAGAGATGCACAGCAATACAGACGGAAAAGCAGAACTGTTCAACTGGAGACCAGGAGACACTTTTTTCACCTGATTTTAGCCACACAAAAGTAAAGTGAAACATCTAGGTCCCACCTCTTGTTAGCAGAAAGGCATAAATGCCTGTATTCAGGGAGCTGACACATCCTAAAGTACACATCTAAAACAGGAAAGGTCAATTGATCTTGGTGCCTGCTTCTTTGCAAAGACAATAGATGGAGCCTGGACAAATGTCTTGGTCTAGATATACCTGAATTTTAGATGGTTTAAGTTAGGCAAGTTAAATTCTACTTTCTCCAGCTGATTAGCACCTTAACAACAGACTTTATAGGAGTAAGGCACTGAAGACAATGTCAAAGGCATCTAGCCCCCTCTAACAGGTATGATTCATAAAATATACAACATAAAACATGTTTAGGTACATTTTCCAAAGATGAAACACTATCTAAGTATGTCTTTTTTGTGGAAGCAAGGAAATTTACAGTTAAGGATTGATTATACTTTGTCATAATAACATAAAATTTAGATCCTTCCAAAGTAATACAGTATTTCTTTTAGCATGATGGCAAGCACTGAGATGTGAGGACAAAAATCCAACCTCTGTTTACTGAAAATGTCCTTTCTCTCTTGCATTTGTCTGGAAATATCTGGAAATATTTCAGTCTCTCTCTCTCAACAAAAAAAGACTTTTTCCTTTTTAATGAGTTGTTGTCACTGAAAATCACGGTTGCTGGCAGCTGCAAAGAAATAATCACTATTGAAGCTTCAGTCTAAATTTAAACTAGGAATTCAGCAGAAGCATGGGGCTTCAGACAAAGCAAGCCCCATGAACCTGCAGAGGGGATGAACTGTTGGGGCTGAGCCCGTGTAACTCTGAGCGCTTGCAAGTGTCACGGAAATCAGCCTGAGCTTAAGCCAGTTCAATAGATACAGAGACGGAAGGCTGATGGCACTAGCACAAAACACCTTGAGGCAACGAGCAGATGTCTGAGGGACTTAGAGATAATCACCGCTGCACAGGACCATGCATTAAGGTATAACAGAATCACAGAATCACAGAGTCGTTTAGGTTGGAAGGGACCTCTGGAGATCATCTAGTCCAACCTCCCTGCTCAAGCAGGGTCACCTAGAGCATGTTGCCCAGGATCACATCCAGGCGGCTTTTGAATATCTCCAGCGAAGGAGACTCCACTACCTCTCTGGGCAACCTGTTCCAATGCTCTGTCACCCTCACAGTGAAGAAGTTTTTCCTCAGGTTCAGATGCAACTTCCTGAGGTTCAGTTTCTGCCCGTTGCCTCTTGTCCTGTTGCTGGGCACCACGGAGAAGAGGCTGGCCTCATCCTCTTGAACCTCCCCCTGCAGATATTTGTACACATTGATTAGATCGCCTCTCAGTCTTCTCTTCTCCAGGCTCAACAGGCCCAGCTCCCTCAGCCTTTCTTCAGAGGAGAGGTGCTCCAGCCCTCTAATCATCTTGGTAGCCCTCTGCTGGACTCTCTCCAGGAGTGCCATGGCTCTCTTGTCCTGGGGAGCCCAGAACTGGACACAGGACTCCAGGGGAGGCCTCACCAGGGCTGAGGAGAGGGGCGGGATCACCTCCCTCCACCTGCTGGCAACACTCGGCCTCATGCACCCCAGGATCCCATCGGCCTTCTTGGCCCCAAGGGCACACTGCTGGCTCATGGTTAACTTGTTGTCCACCAGCACTCCCAGGTCCTTCTCGGCAGAGCTACTTTCCAGCAGGTCAACCCCCAGCCTGTACTGGGGTATGATAACGGTATGATAGCATACTGCAAGAACCCACACATAGTCATAATCAACCCACAGTTCTCCATAAAGGGATTAGATGTTTTCCGTTGTACATTGGAGGTGCAAATATTAAGGCAAGTGAAAATTAACAGGTGGTTCAAAAATCACTGGACCCTTTATGAGAAAATGACAAGAGATGCAAACATTAGCAGTCTTATGCATAGCTCAAGTGTCTAAATCTCTTTTCTGCAGGAGAACACCCTGCCTCGAAGGTTAGCCATCTGTCAGACATGACAGAATGATGCACAGGAATTTTATGCCACATGTTACCGTACAGCTTTGATTCGTGCTGAACTTCCCCATGTTTTATTAGAACCACAGCTGCATAAGATCCTTTACAGCAGAAAAAAAAAATAAAGAAAGAAAGAAATGGCCCCTCCAAAGCTCCAACAGAAAAGACACAGAAGTTTCTACCACTCGTCCGTCTCTAGTATGAAATAATATTATCCTTAACTGAAATTTGGTTACTTCTTTTAGCACTATTGGAACTAGTATGATGTTTTTCACAGTTCTCATTTGCAGACTATGTAAAATTTTCCCGCAGTCTGATAGACTATTAGATTTTGTTAACTCTCGCAAAACCTGAAGGAAAGATTTAAAGATTTCAGACCGAGCTGCCTAGGACCTGAGAAACTCCTTTGGAATATCGACCAGTATTTGACTAGTTAAGCCAAAACAGTGGCCTTTCTAGATACACTGTGAAGGGTCTTTGAGTGGTTTCTATGCCGTTCTTTGATTACTCAGTTCTGTTAATGATTAAATTCATAACTCGTGAAGAAAACATAAAGTTCTCTTAGTGGAAATACATTCATACTAAACGAGGAACATTATTCGGTTCTGTAATATTCTGTCCTCCTAAGCAGAAGTAAGTTGGAATTCAGAATGTCTGGTCTCTGGCAAACATTGCTGTATTTCACATGCTGATCTTGTCTCCAGTAAATACATAAATGAATACAAATAAAGACAGTTCTGAACAGAAATTTTTAAAAACTTTGAAATAGTACACAGCACTAGAGTACACAGAATCAATAGTACATCGAACCTATTTTTTTAATGGAATCAAGCAGAGCTGAAATTAATTTTGTTGTTTCTAACATGATTAACTCTTCAGTTTTGCAGCAGTTTAGCATTAGCCCTGCATTTTCTTGTAGCATCATCTTATGCCTTGTGGAAGATAAAGTTTGCAAATTCAGTGTCCAGTTCTCCGTTGTTACGGTGTGCCTACTTTTCCCCAGTGCTCCCACCTTAGGCCTCACACCTTGTCCAGAAAGAACAGCAGTCCAGCATTCAGGCTGCGGTCCCATTTTCTAACCTCTCCCTCTTTCGCCAAAGGAACGCACTGGCAGGGAAATGCTTTTTTATTAAACGTTGTTTGGAATTCGTTCTACAAAAAACGCTGCAAGATGCAAAACAAACTACTCCTCTTTGCATTGCACCCCCCTGGAATCAAGTGCATCGTTTCAGTTTTGAAATCTAATTTGTCAAGTTTACAACCCAGCACCTGAAATACTCAGAAGGGATTTTCCCACCCTTTCCTCAGCCCTCTGTGAGGAATCATTTTTCAGAAGGACGTCATTGCTGAACACGAGGTGAAAGGGCCAGCACACAGAATCCTCTGGGACGAATGATTTGTTCTTTAGTCACTCTCTGAAAGTCAGATTGATTAGCACGTTAGGGACGAGGAGGAAAGGTTTTGTTTTGCTTCGTTTTGTTTTTTGGTCCAATCAGCGCAGCAAGTAAAGCGGCATGCGGAGAAACGGGAAAGAAAAGCAGCTTCCCCTCTTTATGCCACAAGGCATGCGTTGCTGGGAGTATCTGGAGGTACGTCCATCAGGTTCCTGCTGCTGGTGTCTCCCAGCCTCAGGCTTTCACACGCGTTTGCTCCTTTGGTTTAACTTTTAAGGACTGGCAGGAGAGTTTCAACTGAAGCTTCCAGCCTTGTTACGACATAGCTGGGTAATATTTACCAGTTTAGCCAGGACGTCAGACCGAAGGATCTGGCTATCCCATTTCACCGAAATTTCTCTGGAAAGTACAAAATATAATATACCATGATATCCCAGAGTGCATCGCTCTGTCCTCTCCCTGCTACTAAATTGTCCCTGAATGGAGGCAGCAAACAAGGAGACAAACAAGTTACCTGTTTTACTGCTTGATGAAAGAGGCAGAGCTCCTTCTTTAAAAAGGAGGAAAGTAAGAGCTTATGAACATAAATTAGACTTCCCTGTAACACTAAAGACTGCCTCCTCCCTACAGTAGTGTTTCCTATGCAGTCAAAGAATGCTGCATTCTGGGATATTATTGAAAAAAGGATCTGATAAACCGGAGAGTTTTAAAGCACCGTTTGAGTGCTGAAAGGTATGGTACGCTCAGCACCTTTTCTAGACTGATAATTGAGGTTCCTTCTATGTAAGGCCAGACAAAAAAGATATACTTCCCGATTTAAGCTTATCTAGGGTTATGCAGAAAAACACCAGCAAACAATCTAATCTGAGCACGCACGTTGCTATGTTTTTTTGCACTAAGCCTATCTCAGCAACCTGTCCTGTCAATGAAACTAGCCTGGCACCATGAGGAGAAAGCACACTGCTCACCGGACGTAACGTTTGATAACTACAGCTCTGACAGCAGAGACTGTGCGGAACGTGTTAACTCAGCTGCTTCCATCATCCAGCCTAACTCCCTCGTCCGTTTATCATACCTTGCACTTACAGGAAAAGCAGTGAACAGATTCTTTACCCAGAACCAAAAACAAACAAACAAACAAAAGAAAACACCATACCACACAACTGGGACAAACAGGACTGAGACCCCTTGGGTGAAAAATTACGCTAACGAGTGATGAACACAGGCAACGTTTGAAAGATCCCCTTGCAGCTCTCCAAGCGCTTCCCCAGCACCACGTGGCATACGAGATCGTATGACAGAGATGCAACGCCGTCTCTGAACAGTAGCTGCTTATAAAGTAAGGTTTGTCTAATTTGTAAGGTCTTAGAGGACAAGACACCGTGGCGGGAAACGCAGGCCTGGGAACTTCAAGCAGAAGTGAATTGCAGAAGTGATCTGCTCAACGCACAGAAGGTTTTACAACCCTTTGTTTTGCATTTAGTTGTTTAAGAGTGCCTTCAGCAGCTCGTCTGGCGCCAGCTAACTTGTTTCTCCTCTTCCCTGCAAATAAGAAGCAACTTCAGCGACGAGAATGGAGTTTTCTCTGTGTAAAACTGTTCTGTAAGTACAGCAGCTGTCCTTCTTCCCAGGGGCCTCCCATGTGAAGGAGGCTGACAATAACACAGCTCATCAGCATTCGGGATGAATTTTTAGCTGTAAGGAATCTTATGGGATCTCTCTTTTGTTTGTTTGTTTTGCTTTGTTTTGTTTTGTGGGGTGCACAACTTTCCTGAATATGAACACAAAAATTGTCAGAAATCATCCCTGCTCAGTGCAGCAGAAATTGCTGTAATTTGAGAGGAGGGACTTTTAATCACAGATGTTCCACTGTGGAAGGATAAAATTAATTTTCATTTAAGCATGCTGGAACATTTTTCTAACGAATATTGATAGACTTACACTTACTAATTTTTCATGTAAGGAGAAAACAACAAGTCTAGGGAGGAATAAATTGATGATACCAAATGTAAAAAAAAAAAAAAAAGGCAAGAAAAAGTGTGATGGAAAGGAAAGCATGTGAAATGAGCTTAAATTAAGTTTTCCAGCTGCTTTAATTTACATATTTACATATATATGTGTATGTTTGAGGGTATATGCATATATATATATACACACACGCGCACATTTATATGAGTTGAAATCACTCAACACAGAAATTTTAGATCTCTTCCCCATCAAATGCGAAGTTACATAAGGAAGGTCAGGTTCTCATCTCTGGGCCCAAGTTAAACATACAGCACTTGGTCCAGACTGGCTGCATTTCTGGACCTGTTTCTGATGGCATGCTGATTTTGCAAGACCGGGTGATGTCATGTGCTTCTCATTATCACTGAGAGCCACTGCCAACGCCATATACTCCGTGCTAGTCCTTGTGCAGGCAAAGCACAGTGATGGCACACGGAGCAGACCTTTAGTACCATACCACAAAGAATTTTTTTACCAAATGGGGAAATAAGGAGAGAGACCTCAATAGGAGCCCATTCTGTCTGAGCCATGACAGAGCAAATACACAGTAGATGTCTCACTTGGGCTATGGAGACAGTCAACTCCAGAAACCCTGTGCTGCCCTCCTTGAATCAAGAGCACAAAGGACAGGGGTGAGGAGACCGTTGAGTGGCTCTGGGTGGAAAAGGCAGAGCAGCTTGGTCTCAGTACTATCACTGCTGGAGCAAGAAATAGTAGTGAGGCGAGGGGAGGAGAAGACAGCAGTAGGATGGGTAAGAGGAGGAGGTGGCCCTGGCAAGATGCAGAAGATTCCCAGTTTTCTCAGGCGAGGTGGATCTACACAGATGTGTAGAACGAGTGATCTAGTGCACAAATGAGAAATTCTGGTTGACACACTTGCATTTCTGATATGCTGCCATACTCGAGTCCCAACTTCTTGTTTCACTAGAAAGCTTGGTACCAGGATTTGGGCTATGTTTCATAACAGATACACTACACAGGACCTATCTGTCCAAATGCAGATGTTTGCAATGTTGGTATTTATACCTAAACAAGCTCCCCCAGGTATCGCTTGTCAATACAAGCAATGGTAGGTACAGCATAGTTCATCTCCTCCTAATGCAGATGCTGGTATTTGGCTAGATAATCATGCCCTCATCTCCATTGGCTACATTGACCAGTTCTGTGACACTACAGGGATCCCAGGATGACATTTCACATGGAGATATCTGTGTTATGGAAACCTAAAGTTAGGCAAGATGAATCCCAGGCCTTGTGCTTTTCATGTACATCCCAAGACAACTCACCCTTTCACCATCCAGAAGCAGGTGCACTCTGAAGTTCATTGATTCATTAAGAATGATCTCCTCGTTCCTGTACAAGATCTGAAATATTCTGCTGTAAACGTTGCTTTCGTGAACACAGGCTGAGCAAAGGCTGGAATCACCTGCACAAAACACAGACAGAGTACTGAAGTGATTTCTGCAGGGAGATTATCTCCTCTCCTACACTTTCACTTTCGGAGTTACCTAGGCCAGTTGTATTCGTACTTGTAGCTAAACCTTGGCTTTCACAATAATTAATGTTAATGGAGCAGATGATTGTTATTGGGGGTTGTAGGTTCCCAACCATGGCATTTGGAGAAAATAAATACTAAACTGAAGCAGGCAGGCTGGATTTCAAAGTGAGAATGGCTGACCCTGTGACAGCACTTACCCTATTAACTTTACTTCTAATGAAAGCTAGAGCATCAAACGTCTTCGGGGGGGAGGGGGGGGAGGCAGGGTTGCTATGCAGGAGCATGTGGGTGTTTATCAGCACCGACTGCATCTATGAAATTTCATCTTCTATCTGTAATGGTCGTCCTTCAGAACAGGGAACTTTCCTGTCATCTCTGGTGCTTCCAGAAGTTAACTACCTGCGGGGGGACAATAGCCAACAGCACTTCTCCAAGGCAGAACCCAGAGGTGAAGAGGCATCTTAAATTAAAGTACAAGAAAAGAACAAAAGTAGCCACATTTTCCAAAGCGCCAGGAGTCCTGTGAACTCCTTCAGGCCCTCAGCCCACGTGAGGGTTGCCAAGCGGGCCCGTGCAACTGGGATTGAACCAGGGCGCTCAAAAGCGGAAACTCAGAGCTTGTGCACACTGAATTCAGACAGCCAATGGCTTCATCTCTGTGCCAATATATCACATCATCACAAATTAATTTCGCATAAACTAAGGTGAGATTTATCCTTCTTAACTTCTAGGTGCCTCCAGTGTTTGTGTCTATATTTTCTGTAATTGTTTTGGCCATAATGGGAGCCCAAGGAATTTAAGGTATCGTCCACCTGACAGAAAGAGGCAGTATGCTTTACAATGAGACCAGTTGTAGCCTGAAGTCCACTGCTTACTGGATAAATTCTCCTTTCCCTTGAGGGAACACGCTGTGGCTTGCTTTGCTATAGAAACCTACAGTGTTACATTTCCTGCAATGAATTTCTCCTGAAGACTCTGCCATGCCTGTCTGTCTGTTAATGAAACAATCTGGCACCAAGAGTTCAGGTACTTTCACGTTGTATCTGGCTGTTAATCAGAATCCCTTGCTAATTACACTTCCATTGCCTCGGAGCAACAACCGCCTGCAAAATTTCCTCAGAGCCGGTTTTATCTTTCTCCAATACCTACTGCTGCAGGAATCTGAGCTTTTGAAATGTACTTCTCTAGCAAACGGTATATTGGAACTAGACATCTACAGCTCCTGACGAGATGCATTTAAAAAAGACGTGCCAGTATCAGTCCTTTAAAGAGAGCCAGACCTGTGATCCTCCTCAGGAAGCCAGTAGGTACATGCTTTTTAAAAAGAGGAGTGGTTTCTCTGAAGGTACTTCTGGGAACCTGGGCCTTTGTATAATTTTTTTTGAGCCCGTGAGCTGTGATAAGACAAAAGTCCAGGTCACAAAGTGCTACAGACTGCTAGTTTGTCAAGAGTCTCAAATCAGGACAGGTCTGTGCTAGTGTGTGAAAAGCTAATGCTTTTCTTTTCGATGCAAGAAGCACACAAAATTTGCAATTGGAAGTTGGTGAGGTGAGACTGACAGAGGGCTGAAGATTTTCAGAGGTAAAGTTTGTTTGGGGAAAAAAATGAAAAGATAAAGGGCCAAAAAAAAAAGCGCTACGGGCTCTTCTAGAGAAGTGACTGGAGCTTTGTCATTGTAATGATTAGTTTTTGTGGCGTCTGTCTGCTGGAACCAGAATAATGCAGACACAGAAGCACGTTCTTAAAAAATCCTGTTCTGTGTAGGGGGAAAAAAAGAATTGATTAAATAGCAATAAGACTTGAGTTAATTGATTAGAAGGACCATAGGGCTAACATCCAAACTGCATTCAAATCATTTTTCTATTACTGACTTCTACCAAGCACATGCAGCACACCTGGAAACAGCATGTTTCATCCTGCTGCTGGCTTCCCATCACATATTCTGCACAATAGCTATGCATAAGTCCAGGCAGCCTAAATAAATACACATTTCCTTCCTTGTGTTACACCAGTTAGACTAGAATGTTTCAGCCTGATTATCTCTTCAAAAGCAGGCAGTCATATTTATTTTAATTTAAAACTCATCATGTTAGAGACACTGGGAAAATTATGTTAGAGGTATAATGCATTCTTATTCGTATCTGGCAGACAAAGGGAGCTTTATGTTATTTGATTTGGATATTGATATACTGGTACTCTTCAAAGATAGAAAGTTTAATGTCATTTTCTTTTCAAACACACTCTGCACAGACCACTGCTAGTGTGTAATTATTTTAGGAGCTAGATTTGCAAGGTGGCATAAAGAGCCATTATTCTTCTCGAGAAGGTCAAAGTAAAAGGCATGCTACAATGCTTCAGGATGCCTCAAATCAGAGTAAGTGGATATGGTACCCCAGGGCCAAAAGACTGCTCAGTTTCAAGCAGACACCTCCCTACCTTTGCAGAAGTCTGGCAAAGACCTACAGGAAAAGATGTCTGATCATCTCCAAACTAATACAACTCATCACTGCCTTTCCCAGTGGTGGCAGCCTGCTGCTTTTTCTCTTAAACATCACATAAGGCTGTGGCAGGAGATCCCTGGAAGACGTGCTCAGCAGTATGAAAGTATATGGACAATGCTGACCACAGTGCAGGCATGCTGCTCCTCTAGACGAAGGCGAATGACCACGTCTCTGTATAAACGCAAGCACCTAGCTAGAACACATGCACACTTCTGTAAAGGTAACCATGCCGGACTTCCTGGGCTCTCCATTTCTCCTGCACAGAGGAGAGCGCTGAGTCAGTGCTGTTGCTGGAAGCTGAGATATTGAGGGGCTTCTGCTCAGCTGAGATTTAGCATTTCCAAATACTGTCATACTATACAGAAAAATAAAATAAAACAAAATAAAATAAAACAAATAAAATACAAAGAGCCTGAATTCTGTAAGGAGTTGGATTTAACAATCTACCTGCGCAGCTACCTGACTTTTCAGGCTTCTAGTTTATTTTGTTGTCACGGGTGGTTCTCACTTATGAGTGTTTTTTTTTTTTTTTTAATTTTGAAGCAGTTTATATCGTTCCTTTTGTAATGTGCACACACACACACACATACACACAAACACACACACACACACACTCCGCGCAATGTGATGCTTTCACTCTTATTAATTTGACACAAAAAAATGAACAAAATGAGAATCATTGAGTGATGTGTGCATGAAGGGAGGAAAAGAAGGAAATATTAAAAAGCTTTTAAAAAGCTTTTTTTTTTTCTTCTCATTCCATTTCATGATTAACTCATGGAGATGACAATGACATAACAGAACTGTTAAAATTATTGGCCTTCTCATAGCCAAGCTACTACCCCAAGTAATTACTCCATCTTTTGACATATTTACTGCTTTATGGCTTTGGTCTATATAACTGTCTATACAATAGGAATATGCATAAATGTTTGTATTTATCTCCACTATCAGTGTATAAGCAGCTCAAGCATACCAATGAATGACTCTTGATTGTATATGAGAAATGTTTTAAAAAACATACTTTTACTCTCAGTGGCAAATTCAGCTGCAGAGAATGACTTACCTGCGGCACAACTAAAAGCACAACTCAGCTTTCAGAAGTCCTAATTCAGACTGTGAACCATCGTCTCCATATAACTATTAAAGAAACACCTTCACATTGGTCATTGGTATCTTGTGTCCTCCCAGAATACTGAACTCAGCAAAACTCAGTCTTGTGAACATAAAGAAATATTTCCCGAAGAGGAATATCTCTACCATCTAAATTCTGAACAATGTCCTTTATGGCAATAACACTCAAGGACGTGTTCTGCACACGCAGTGAACAGGCTATATGACTGTGTGGACTTCTTTCAATAAAGGGAACTGATACTGCACCAGACTTATGCTTCTTTAGTCTACTCTGAGAAAATATCATCATCCCAATAACTTTTGTGAACTTTGCACCTTGTTCCCAGGATACCTTCAGACACTGAGCACTCACCTCTTTCTCAACTCACTGACTTGTCTGCTAACAAACTCAGTGGCAGGAAGATTGTCATTTGCCACTGCTGACAGTATTCAGAGGTGGTTGCTGGAAGGAGACATGCTGGATGTAGCCGTGTGTAAACACATGCCCTTCTGTCCTTTGGCATAAAGAACAAGATGGTCTAAGAGAGAGAGTTAAAACCACAGGCCCTCCCAAATCTGTTTCTGACGTAACCTTGGTTATCCAAACAGCTCTACACTATGCATGTGCTGATCAGTATGTAATCCAAGGAAGGTAGATGTAGAGCATGGTAACTGCTGGGAGCTCTCACTCCCTGTTGAGATCTGGAGCTAAGGCTGTGCTGACCTGTATGTAGCTCTTTATTCCAGGCTTTCAAATGCTTGAGCTTTGGTGAACTCAACAAGAAAACTCTAATTCTGTAGTAATAAGCTTTTGCTCAGTACTTGAGCAGAAATTTGCTCAAGTAAATTTCCTTGTTAGGAGATTTATGTGTGATACTGTCAGTGTCTGTTAAGCTAGAAGGAGTCCTATTTTCCTGCCTCCTTTTCCTAAGTGGCCATTCCATTTACTACTTATCTTCTTTGGGTGAAATTAACCTCTAAAATATCTGGAAAGTGAAAGAGCTCTCAGGGCTGTAAGAACCATCATCAGCACAAAAAGGACAGCTGTGCTCCACAGCCATTCCTCTAAGGGAATGAGAAGAGTCTGTTGATACACCTCCCTCTCTCTCTTTCTATTCTCTCTGCATAAAATATATTGCCATCCTACCACCACCCCTAGCAAGCTTTTTAAAGACTGTTGAGCAATGTTGTGTTGCAAATGAAGAAAAAGGGCTCTTTGCAGTCTTACGCTCCTTCACACCGACATATCGTAGGCTGGCTGTACAGAGCAGTCAATTTATCATGCCCTGCTCTTTCACCATATCCATACCTGG